ACGGAGAGGGAACTGGGATCGACATGTAAAATAATAAATTTAAAAAAAAAATGCTTTGACTCCAAAATTTAAGTTGAAGGACAAGTTACTGGGGAAAAGGATTTCTATTTTTGTTTCCACAGAAAATGAAAAGATGTGGATTCCTTCCAGACTAATGTGGTTTGATCAAGCCAGGCCACCTGAAACAGAGTACAAGCTGATCCTACATTCAAAACAGCTGGACAAAACAGCCTTACAGACTACAGCCAGGATATCTGAATCTTCTTCGAATCCCCCAAAACAGCGCCCCTTACCAGCAGGAAGTAGTTTGGAAAGAACGACGCCCAAATTCCCAAATATTGTGTATAAATGTTTGCTTTCATTTAATTGGACTGTTATATAAAATTAAATAAAATTTAAAAAAATCAAAATGTTAAGCTTGCAAAAAAAAAAAACTGTAAGTCTAGTTCCTAGGGGTTCACACACCCTCTTCTATCCTCTGAAAATAATGTATTCTCATACTTCACAGATGAACATGCAGGCAAAACAGCCACAAAAAAAATCAAAGAAGACAATAAAATATTTTCAAGCATAAGATTTCATTTGACATAAAGGGTTATTTTAACAAGTAAATGAAAAGTGCAAAAAAGGCTTCCAATCTTTTACAAGAATGCAGTGTTCTAAGCATGTTATGATGTGAATGAAGGTTGTCCCATTACTCAGTTTTCTTTCACAAGTACATGATAAACCAGATGTTTATGATTCTTCCAGAAATATTCATTATCATTGAGGGGTAAAGTCTAGAATGATAAGTACAGATGAATTACTAGCACTATTACTGTATACAAAATGAAACATGAAAAATATATCCATGAGAAGAAAATTAAGTTCTTAAATATTTCACCTAAAATTTGTTTATACTTGCAACATACTTTATTGATAAACTTATTATAATAATATGTATAGTGCACTCTAATAGAAGAGTATAGTGCACGCTAATAAAAGAAATCTGAACATGTGAAGTTTAAACACTGTACAAACTGACATAAGCAATAAAATGTCTATGCAAATGAAGTGAGTGAAACAGTCTTGTACCTCCATGCACAAGGCCCTGTGTTCCACTAGCAACAATGATAAACAGTGGGAACGCGTGGAATCAACTTATATTTAAAATTTAAATATGAGTAAACTATGGGAGATCACTCAAGACACATTTAAACCTTTATGTCATTGCCTGATACTCATACTGGAACTTATCCCTTCAATGTCATTTTCCCAATTTCAAAATGTAAGTTTCAGACAATCATTATACCAGGGGTCACACAATGTAGACCCAGTTACTGACTCTGTAGCTCATAAAGTTGCTTCTATATAAAAATATAGCACTCCAAAATGAGATTCACATGTTGCACATTTCTGTGTTTGTGTGCTTCTTATATTTCCATTCTAATTACCACTATGGCTGTGAGCTGAGGGAAATTCAACAATAATAATAATAGTAATAGTAATAATACTAATACTACTAATAATAATAAATACCAGAAAAGGTAACAAATATATACATCATGTGAGGTCAGATGAGTTATCAAATTGGCTTATTACCACAGTCCTTCAGTCTGTTCACAGAAGGGCTGTGTTACCCTGGTGGTAGCCAGTCATGCTCAGTGGGGGGACTCACATTATACAAAGAATCAGCATAGACTATCACAAAGTTAGGAAAAATATCTTCCTGTCACTTAACTATGCAATAACCATTGTGCCTTAGCTCTCTGTTCCACAGATCTCTTTCTAACCCAGATTCACCTTATCAAACATAAACATCTAAAAATCCTCTTCATTGCTGGTTCTGAAGCACACTCTTCAATGCAGTCACCTGGATTCTTACCTCTGAAGTGTGGTGGGTTCAGTGTACAGATTCTGACCTCATAATAACAAGCACTGTGGGAGAGGAAGGCAGCTCAAGCCTGAGATAAAGAGTTGAAACTCTGTGACCTCACCTCCCTTCAGAGTGACCTTTTTCATGTCACCCGCCCTGGCGCTGACAGTGTGCCTTTGGGAGGCAAAATCATTCATGGCCGTTTTCCTGTTGCTAATTAAATAAACAGGTAAAAGTTTCTCATGAATATCTCCATTGGCATAAGATGTTTTGAATATTTAATTTTCATGATCCTTGGAGGATCTCCAGTGGAAAGTGCTAGAAACTTTGAGATCAGATTCAGGACAAATTTGCAGAATTCTATGTTTCCTTGGATCTTGGCTCCTATGACTTTTTCTCACACAAATAATTTTAGTTCTTTTCAAAGTATTTGAAAAATTTAATACTTAATGTCTCTGAGTATTTCATTCATGCATATGCCTTTTATTCAAGTATAACCAGCCTTACCTCTTTGCCAATTCTTCTCTTTTCCCCCATGACTATTCCTCCAAAATTCATTTATTTCTAAAAAAAAAACAAACAACAAACAGACAAACAAAAGACAAAAATTCTAGGGAATCTAATTATTGATGCTAACATGTGTGTATAACAGTGCTCTCTATGGAAGCATAGGTAGCATCTCAAAGTTGAAATCTGACATATAATCTTCCAGAAGTTACTGTGATCAAAAAGCTCTTCAGACAGAACTGGTATCTATAGATAATTTCCAATGTTCTGGAAGCAAACTAGCTCAGTCATTTGCAGGTTTTTTTTTTTTTTTTTTTTTTTTGCACATAGCCGTAAAAATGTGATCTCACATCTTCTATCTGTAAAAACTTTTCTTAGGATTGTTTAACATCAGAGGTATTCTAACACTATTCCTGCATCTATTCATGATGAAGCTTGAATGTTGGGAGCAAGATGTCCCATTTTTATTTGGGCTCACCACAGTCTTTTATTCTCAACATGTTGAATGATTGTGGTACTTTTTAATAACTACCATAGACTGCAAATATTGGTCCAGGTATGGGTTCCATCATGGAAATTGGGCCTTCATTTTAAATGTAAAGTTTTTGGTAACTCCCATAATGTTAACTACATAATTGTGTCAGAATTGTTGTTGTAGTTCTCAGGGCTCACATCTGGGTAAGATTATTGATTAGGTACAACAATATGACAATGACTCAGTAAAGATGTAGCTTCCACTTAGCCACTAGATGTTTCTCCATTGTCTACAAATCAAGTATATGTTATCTCAGAAGTAGAGTCTTAATTTTAGATTCCTATATCAAGAATTCTCTATTTAGTTCTCCCCCTCCCCATCCTGAAAAGAAATGTTTTATTGTTTAAAATTTTCTAAAAGGATTTTATAGCTTTGGGTTTTTTATTTTTTATTTTAAATATCGATCCTTGTTCCCTCTCCCTCCCTGCCTCTTTCCCTCTCTCCAACCCACTCATGCCCCCCCCACATCCTCCCCTCCAATTTCCCCTCTCCACATGTAGGGTGATGCCATCCAGGAGAGGTTATCTAGATCTGTCAAGTCTTTTGGAGTAGGGACTAGGACTTATCTCCTGTCTCTAGGTTCAGAGAGTTTCCCTCAATGGGGGTTGTGCCCCCAAAGTCCTTTTGTGCCAGGGATAAGTCCTGGTTCCACAGTCCAAGGTCCCTTAGACTGCCCAGGCCTTCTAACTGAGACCCATGTTCAGGGGGTATGAGTCAGTCCCAAGCTGGATTCCCAGCTATCAGTCTGGGGGCCCATTAGCTACTCCTTATTTAGGTCAGTTGTCTCTGTGTGTTTCTGCAGCCTGGTCTTGTCCTCCCTCTCTACACCTAGATTCCAGTTCAGCTCAGTGTTCAGTATGTGTGTCTGCTTCTAGATGAGGGCTTTATGATGGTGGATAAGTTAGTTGTCAATCTCTGACACTTGGGAAATGTTCAGAGATCCATAAAGATAACCCCAACTAAGAATCTAGGCAGTAGTGGAGAGAGCACCTTTGATGCACTTCCCTTATGATGAGATTGATGACTACCTTAATTGCCATCCTAGAGCCCTCATCCAGTAGTTGATGGAAGCAGAAGCAGTCACCCACAGCTAAACACTGAGCAATATTCCTGGAATCCAGGAGTAGAGAGGGAGGAGGGATGAATAAAAAGTCAAGACTGTGCTACAGAAACCTACAGAAACACCTGACCTGACCTAATGAGAGCACAGAGACACCAGTCATAAAGCTGGGGAGCCAGCATTGGACCAAACCAAGCCCTCTGTATTTGGATGCCAGTTAGAAGGTCTGGGAAGTCTATGGGACCTCTAATAGTAGAACCAATATTTATGCCTAGTGCACAAATGGACTTTGAGAGACCATTCCCTATGAAGGGACACTATTTCAGCCCAGATACAGAGGAGGACCTAGACTTTCCCCCAAATGATGTGGTAGACTTTGATATCCACCCATGGAAGGCCTCACTATCCTTTGGGAGTGGGTAGGGGGTGGGTTGGTGGGGGTTAGGAGCATGTTAGGGAGAGGTAATGGGAGGATTAGTATGTAAATTAAGATAGCTTTTAAGCAAAACTATATTGATAATAGTTTTTCACTAAATGGCCAGGGAAGATAGTATGTTCTGAGAAGCTGCTGAAGACTGTTACTACAAACTTCAAAACAAACTAATCTGATTGTCTCAATAGCATCTGAAAGTAAGGTATGTAGGAAATTATGGCTGAAGAAGTTTCCTGGTACTGCTGAAGACTACAAAAGTTGTAAATAGACTCTATTACCCATAAGCTTTCTGTGAAATAACCAAGAACTCGGGATGCCCTGGCAGAATGAAAGCCACAAGGAGGGTGGCTTGATTGAGAGTACTTTTTGCTAGCTCTATTGTGCATCAGCTGGAAAAAGGGAAGCCTTGAAGCTGTAAGTTGAAGAGTGAAATTGTGCTCATACAGTGGGTAAAGCTAATGTCAGCCCCAAATTCAACCAGTATACAAAAGTCTGAGATATATAATTTGCATTAATAGTTAAGACAAAGCACTACCCCATTAACTTTCTGTTCTGGCTTTGTGATGGAGATGGGTGAGTAAACAACTGGATACAACAAAAATTTTATCATTTACTTAAGAATAAGTGAGCTTATATTCCTCATCCAGGCCAAACTAAGTCTTGGCACCATGGAGTAATGATTCATAAGAAAAAAGGGTCCAAAACAAGGAAAGCACAGAGAAGTGACTCGAGTGAAGTTCACCAGCAACCAACTGTGGTTATACAAAAGAGCCACACAACCTTGTAAGATAGCTGAGAGAGTATAAAAAGTCAGAAAGGTACACACCAGGACCAGGATGTTGTGGGTGGCTCTGGACTCAGGGGAGTTCTCGCTGGAACTGCAAGTGCTACGGATCTGTTGAACCCTCTTCTTGTGTCTGTATAGAATGACAATCATGGAGCCACTGGACCAGGACATGACCAACGAAAAGAAGATTTCAGGGCACACCACCAGTGCTACATAGAGTAAGTTATTGGTTTCATCCCGCCTTGCAATGGAGCAGTGTCCAAAATCTTGTTTTGTTGTCATATTTTTACTATACATTTTGATAATTGGGTACACAAAGAAAATTAAATTTATCAACATGTACAAGACCCAAAGGAGGGCAATGGAGCAGCCAATGTACTTAGCAGCTTTGACTTTTTGATCCTTACAACAGAATTCTTTGTGGCTGACAATGATGGCCTGGAAGACACTCAAAAAGCAGGTGGCACCAATAGACACACTGCGGCCAACTCTTTCAAGGTACAGAAGTAATCTACATCCAAAATCATTTAAAAACTGCTTCAAACCAAAAGCTGCCATAGTTTGGGGTACTCCTTTAGAAATAACGATCAAGGTGTTGGCTGATATTAGGTGGATGTGAATCAAATGTACAGTCTTTAATTTGCATTCTCCAGAGAAGACTAGATAGTAGTAAAACAGAGAGAAATTTCCCAGAATTCCAGTTGTAGTTTGTGAGAAGAAGATTATTTTGAAGGCCATATTCCAGAAATACATTCTGTAATTGAGCATGATTTTCTTTAGATAATGGAGAAAGGCAATTCTCTGGTCAAAATGAATGAAAAGTATAGTAATCCAAAAACCTACAGAAAGCCTAAAACACAATGTTTCTTAGAGCTCAGAAGTACCATCTCAGACTAGACTACATAACAATAATTCCACAAAGTAAATGGCATAATCAATAATTACTTTCAATGATGTTCATTGTAAGACAGCTAAAGACCTCAGCCTGCATATGTGGATGGGTGACTTGCCTTCAAAAACATAGAATGTGTAGCATTGTGAAGAATTTTATTTGGTATGTTAGAACTAATTGGAATTAGAGGTAATACTAGCAAGCATAGTTCAAGACTGTGAAAATATACAGCTATTTTCTAGTCATAGTATAAAAGAAGATAATTTTAATGTCTTGTACAAAACTCAAAAGTACCAATTTAATGTATATCTCATCCAAAATTAAAAGCTCATTAAGGAAAAGTATATGAGGTCATTCACTATATTTTTATAGATGTATATAACAAAATTTTATTAACAGCATAAAATATATACAAATATGGTTCAAGTAACAACTTGTATCTAATGTGAAGAACTACCTCATATACAAAGTACATCACAAAGACATGCACATAGAAATGTACATGCTCAGGTTAGGACTGTTAGAGCACTGGGGACATTCAATGGGATTATACCCCACAGAATCCTCGGCAGAACAGTAATAGGAAAAATAAGTCAATAGAAATGGTAAGACAAATGTCACCATCTGAAGAATGATAGCTAATGCAGAAATGTTCAATAGCTCACTTGAAACTGTGTCTGGAATAGCAATGCACCACTTGGAATTCTAGAGTGGAGATGGTAGAAAAATAGGCAGTGAGCTAGACAGCCCATCAGTGAAGTTGGAGGAGACTCTGAGAATACAATACTCTGTTCCTTCAGGAGAATGCATCCAAAGACCTCATAAGCAAAGTGAGATCCCATTGACGAAATAGGCAGAAGCAGTTGTGAATTAGTGCCTGGCTGAAACAATAATCTACAGGAAGGGTACCATTGCTCCACTGACTATTAAGCCATGTAGAGACAGTCTTTTGGCATAATTTTATTGGAATGTGAAGAATTTAAAACAAACTGGTGACATTAGAAACCACCAAATAATAATAGTACTGGAAAAACAACCTAGAGAATGACTACAGCAAAAAAATTGAAAATATTTTATGATATGAAGTAATACAAACTGGAAAGTATTGATAGCTTACCTTGTATGTCAGTGTTGTTTCTTGGCTTATAATTTTTAAAATGTGAGATTATAGAGGAGTTAGTAGGTATCCAGTCCACAAAGATAGAATGGGAATACGATCCATAAGAAGGTCAAAAATAGGGTCTAGAAAACTCTTTTAGCAAAGTTCATTGCAATCTGTCACTGGTTTGGTTGATGGCCTCTGGTTCTGGTCAAAACTATCATCACTGGATCCTCACTGGAACTGTTCTAGAATATTCTATGCCAAGTCCAAAAGGCTTAGAGATCCTGTATTGTTCCACAGGACTAATTCCTTTGCAAGCCCAAGTATAGGGCCCAAGATGTTGTAGATGTTGGGGTGCACCAACCCAAGGAGTGGCTCTGGGTCTGGGTAGTACCTGGTTATTATGGGAGACTGGAACCATACACCTCAGATATGGTGGAGTCAATACCTTTTAGGCCCCTGCCCTCAAGGTTTGTTTATCCTTGCATATGTTGAGGGGTTGGGCCATCTGTCAGAAGTGCAGGCATGATCTGTGATGCAGTTTAATAAGAGACACTGTTCAATAAGAGACAAATGAAAATCAAACATCCCTGGAAAGATTTAAATGTTCTACATACCTAGGATCTTTAAATTACTGAGAGGCTAAAAAGATTTCTAGGAAATTCATGCCTATTCACCTATCCTGCCACATCTGAGGAAGGAAAAAAATACAATTATTGACAAATGCTTCATTTTAAGAGCTGTTATGGTGTTTGAGGCTCTATGAATGCCAATGGATAGAATACTATCTATTTTACTTGCTTGGCAATTGAGTATTCTGTTGTACTGAAGTAAGAAGCAATGTTAAACATTGAAACATGGACAAGAGTCAACTACATAGTGAGGCCTCTCCTATGCTTAGGTGCGTGAGGTCATTGAGCCAAATCTGTTAATGGGCATTTGTCTTTACAGTTATAGGATTCTGCACAGGAAGGATGAGTGTAATTACAAGATTACACCCACTGATACCCTGTATCCTTACATGAAAATATCCGCTTTTCAAAATTCTGTTAAGAGTTAAGTGAATAAGGAAAAACATAATTTTTTGAGTTAAGTATAATATTTATATGTGAAAAACAGCAATGACAATATATGAGTTAGTGATATTTATCAGTCATCTTCTTCAATAATTAAAACTGCATGATCTAGATAATCCCATTATTTCCGCTGTCAAGGACTGAACTAAGAATTACAAGGGCTTGGAACTCTTTAAATACAAAAATTGCTTAGAGTACTGAAAGGAATTCAACATGGAAAAAATGTGACAGATAAACGACTGTGCTTTAGAAACCATGATGAATGACCTCCAACATATTACACCCTATTTTGCAGATTGTGTTCCTCATTTGATTCTTGTTCACATTTTTTGGTATCCTAATGTATGTTTTGTGCTGGAAAGTTTTCATCTGGGGGAATAGAGAGGTGGCTGAGGGCTAAGAAAAAATTGTGCTGCTGCTTCTGCTGCTGTAGTAGATCTCAGATTGGTTCCCAGCACCCACAGGGTGCCTTACATCAGCCTGTAATTCTGATACCAGGGCCTTCTGTCATCCCCTATTGGCCTCTGGAGGCATTGCATTCACACAGTCTCTTATTTACATGATGGGAAAACATACATAAACACAAAATAAAAATGAATATGTAAAACACACATGTTCATATTTACATAAAGGATTATCAATGTCAAATTCCAGTGGTTCTGAGGGTATTGTTCTCAGTATGTTCTTACCTGACAGAAAAATGTTGCATTTCCCAGTTTGGTTTCAGAAGCACAGAATGAACCTAAAATTTATGCTGCCACCAAAAATATGAATTTTTGTCATTTTGGGGATGAAGATTACAGTAGGTACACAGAGGAATTACTAACACTATTAATCTGTATAGCATACTGATGGGAGATGTCATTCTGTATATGTTTCTCATACTGGTTAATAAATAAAGCACTGTTGGCCAATAGGAAAAGAAGATAGGAGGGACTAGGAGACAAGGAGGAAAGAGGAAGGAGGAAGGAGGAGCCAAGATGGAGAGCCTGGAGAGAACAGAACCGCCATTCCTCCGCTCTCGGTAAGACCACGTGGAAATACATAGAAATGGGTTAATAATTAAGACAGAGCTAGCCTATAAGAAACAAGTAACTGGCCAACAGCATAATATCAAATACAGAGTCTCTGTGTGTTATTTGGGGCTGGCGCGGCAGCGGGACAAGACTAGGCTGACCTGTACTTCTTACAGTATACAAAATGAAACACTAATGTGTGATTAATAACTAATAGCATCAGATGTACAATAAGTTCATAAAACATTTCTTTTAAAATTCAGAATAATTCACTCTTATTCATTATTATTTTACAAAATGGGGCACCACTATGTAGCACTAATACTTTCAGAACTCACTATATAGATTATGTTGACCTCAAATTTAAAGAGATCTGCCAGACAAGTGTGTTGTTAATGGTTTTTTACCACACGTATGATTTATTTGCTAATTCTTATATTAATAAGTCTATTATAATGAATTGTATAATGAATTTACACATAGAAGAGGCCTGTAAGATTATAAAGTGCAATGAAAAGAATTTAAAACCTTTAATATTGTCCACTGTGAGCATTAAATATTGCCCAGTGTTGGATTGTCCATGCTAAGTGTTAATGCATATTTAGCCAAGGGGTAGAACCCAGGCAGATTAGGCACAAGGTTCTGTCTTTCAATATCAATAATAATAAACAGTGAGTGAAGGCAGCTATCGGGTTCTGATTAATATTAGAGAATGATGATACCAGGGTAAATAACTCCACACATTTGTCTGGGCTGTTATTGCCTGACACTCACACTGTACCTTCCTTTCCATTTTTCCCTTCCCAAGCTGAAGAGAGGGAGTCTACAAACGAGTCATTGTACCAAAGTCCATTCACTACCAATTCCGTTACTGCTTCTGTAAACAAAACATAAATGTTATGTCATATATGAATGCTTTTTACACACAATCATAGTCACATCCTGCTCTTCTCTGGTATATGCGCATCTTGTATTTTATTTCTACTATTTACTATGATATGAAACCATAATATAAAAAGCTCAAATAATAATAATAATAATACTGAAGATATAGTCTACATATCACAAGTTCAGGTGAATTATCACATTGACTGATTCCCACCACTCTTTAGCACATTCAGAATTAGGCTAAATTATCCCTCTCTTGCCTGCAGTCACAATCATCAGGGAACATATATTACAATATGAAACAACAATGTATACAAGGTTAAGAAAAGTTGGGTCTTTCTAGCTCATCTTTTAGCTATGCAATTTACTCTTGTGCATTTTGTCTCATCCATGGATCTGTTCCTACCCCATATCCCATTACCAGACATGAACACTTGTTCAGGCCTTGCTTCTTTGCTAATTCTAATATTCAGACTGAAATACACAGTAGTCACCTGGCTTCTTGTCTCTGCATGTTGGTGTGTTCAAGGGAAAGATCAAGACTCATTAATAATCATCACTGTGGGAGAGTTAGAACAAGGGTGATATAGAGGTCTGTGACTCTGTGACCTCACCTCCCTCCAGAACTGCAATTTTCATTTCACCTTTAGTGACAAGGAGGACAGCACTAGCTGTGGGAGACTAGATAATAAATGAAACATTTCTAGTTGTTAATTAGCAAAGATATTTTAGAGCTCCTTGTGTATTTATCCAAAGGGATAATATGTTCTGAAGAGGCATTTAATTTTCATGAT